GGGAGATCTTTGAATTTTAAAGTGGTCAGAAAGTTCTTGGGTGCCAGGAGGAATACTGTATGCATGAAAGATACAATCTGTTTTCTAATATAGGTAGCTTAAGTAAATAATGTGCCCTCCTTGAGAAATCAGTTCAGTGTATGATGTTGACCATTCCTTGTCTTTGAGTTTCTTCAGTTTAGTTTCATTTTGAGATAGATTCTTGCCAAGTATGTTTGATATTCTGTGTTTTAATTCTTCATAGGAGGTGAATATTGAATTTGAAGCACATTCCATATCTGACAATGACTACAATGGGATAAAGAAATTACTACAACAGGTACTTTGACTTCTTGTTAGCTTGATTGGCATTTCCATTGATTAATAATATCTAAGGAGTTATGTGAAGTCATCAGGCAACCTTTATTGATTCATAGTTTTACTATGCGTCAGCTCATGAGGATTAAATAATTACAGCCAAAGCGAACATTCCTAAACCATGGCTTCAAGAACTGTAGGGCTGTTCTTCCACAGTTTCTATAATCTTTCTATCCTCATTGTGTTAGTTACTGCCCAGAATACCTCATTCAATGTTAATCAGCTTCCTGGAGAGTTTTTTTTTGGTAAATTACAGCCCTTAAAAAGCAAGACAAACAAGTAATGTGTTCGTTTAATGTGGCAACTTCCAGTCTTTTTCTTGTAAACCTATGCGGGGCAAGCATTCAGCTTTTATCATGCAACATGCCAGCTTGTGGAGGGTCAAGGAGCAGGCCCTTCAAGAAGCTGGTTTTCAGTCTTTACAATATGATATTGAAGGAAGTTAAATAAATGCACTAAATGGAAATTAAAAATGGAACAGTGCTGCATGGCAGCTTACAGAAGTTGGTGACTTTTTTTTTTTACTTAAGTGGCCCATGATACATCATCAGGCCTAAAATTTCTTTGTATTTGTTTCTTATTTCCTAGTTGTTTCTAAAAGCTCCTGTTAACACTGCTGAATTAACGGATATATTAATACAACAGAATCATGTTGGAAGTATTATTAAGGTAAGATAGAATTTATGTTTATAAATTAAGTACAATACTTATGTTGAAATAACAGACTTTCAGAAGGTGATCCTGTCTTTGTGATTTGTATGCTTTCTTGCTTTTTCGCTTTGGGAATAGTTCTTCTATGGGAGCTAAAGTTTTCAATGTCTACTTTCAACCAAACAAGGAACTTGGTTTCTTTTTTTGTTTGTTTCCTTTTTACATATGGAAGGCTTTTCACTTTTCTCTGTAAATTTTGTTGTGGTATAGTAATAATGCTGCAAATTCTGTGGAGAAGTTTGTTACCATCTCCATAAGAAAGAAGACTTTATGATTCCCATCATTCTCAGATTGTACAGAGATAAAAAACAAAAATACCCTGCGTGCAGTTTCCTTTTGTGCAGAGTTCCTTGAACATAGGAAAGGATCCCGAAGGGAGTCCTGGACAAGTTCTGCAATGGCAGTGAAGTACTCTGCAGAGGCTCCTGAGTTAGTCCAGCCTAAGGAAGCTGCTCAGTACTGTATACTGCTCAGGAGGTCATGGCCACATTTCTTTCCAACATGAACCAGCTGCCCCCAAAGGGCACACTTGTGCAGTTGTACCACGTTGCATGGCATCACTTCTGGACCTTCCTTTTTTGGCCTGTGCCAGCAGTTTTTCTGCCCAAGTTTAACATGATCCTTGTATTACAACTGCATGACTCCCAGTTCTTTCCCCATGTTTTTTTCATTGCAGGGTTTTATTTAGCTTTGTTTCACTCTCTATCAAAGCTCTATGGCTCAATGGTTTTTAAGACTTCCAGGTTTATTTTCCCTATGTTAGAAACCACAGACAGTTGGTTTTGCTGAAGACATTGCCATCCCTTGTGCTAAGATGTGGCTTATTATAGGTGAGCTATCAAATTTTAGTGCCTTTCAGAAGATGCTGCTGTAGAAGATAGAGGACCTGGCTCTAAGTACACAGAGACATTCAGTGATGCAGCAGTCTCATAACTGTAACCAGAATGCTTTCATAACCATAACCAGAATTGGTAGGTTATGTCTATGTACAGATTATCTAGATGGTTGTCAACTGCTGAGCATATTCTGGAAGGAAAAACATTTCATGCTGCAGAGAGTGGAAATAGAATGTCAACATGAATTCTTGTTTTTTCTTTTATTAAATAGCAAGCAGAAGTCCAAGAAGACAGTAGTGATGATGATGAAGATGATGATGAAGTCTTTGGTTTTATAAGCTGCTTAAACTTGACAGAAAGGAAGGTTGGTATTCCTCAGAAACATCCAGACAGTAATAAGTGAGACTGCATCTTGCTTTTCTGCCTTCTATTACACATGTGGACAGCTGGATAAGGGTTTTGCATTCCACTGTGGAAGACTATGGTCTTAAAAGTTGCACATCACTTAGCTTTCTTTCTGATCTAGTCCCTCATAACTTGCTGAAGGTCAAACAAAGCAGAGAGTGGAAGAGAGTCAAAACTAAGTCTGACATGTATTTCCAAGGTAACTGAGCTGTCAGCCTCTTGTATTTCTTCACTTTAATCTTTCAAAGCTTTCAAGTTTTGTTGTTGAGTGTCCTGGTGTTGCAGCTCCTAGCTGTGTTGATAGCAGTTAAGAGCCTTTGTTTGCCCTCAGCTTCAGAGCTGGTAAATAAATTCAGGTAAATTGTATTGTGCTTTAGCGATTGCTTAAGGAAATTGCCAGTAGGTCTGTAGAATATGTCCTTAGAGTTCACATTCAAGGTTTTTGTTGTATAAATTATTGTTCTATAATGTAAAGGAAGTACACCTTTTGATTCTAGGGTACACAGTGTGCTGAACAAATCAAAGAGCTGATTCTAAGCAAGTGTGAGAAGAGCTGTGAACAGCATGTAGTTGAACAACTGGACAAGCTCCTCAATGACAGTACTAAGCCTGTGGGTCTTCTCCTCAGTGAAAGATTCATTAACGTGCCACCACAGATTGCTCTGCCCATGCACCAGCAGCTTCAGTAAGTCTGGGTTGGTTTTTTTTTTACATGATGTTGATTAATACTTTTTGCTCATATTTTTAAAGAAAACTTACATATATAGAACTATGTGAAGGCAGGTGATACTATAGATATAAGTAAGATATTTTTTACATCTTTAAGCTTTTCAAACTCTTCATGCTTTATGACAGAAGAAATAATTTAAGAATATGTGCAGTTCTACTACAGAAGTAGCTGTTTGTATATTGTAGCTTGTATTGCACATTATTTTCAGAACAATGTAGGAAAATGTAAAAATGATAACTTTATAGCATGCTGATAATGAGCAACTTGGATGTTTCTGCTCCTGTGTTAAGATCTGGCTCTGGAATGGAAGATTTGGCTCAAGGGACAGGGATATAGGTGAATGAATTCTGGCCCATTAAAACCACATATAGTGTTTTGATCAGTGTCAGACAAGTGAGTGAAGCACATGAAGTGCTGGTTGATCTCTACCAATTCATTATTTCCTATCATAGGCTGGGTGACAAGTAAGTCCACTGAGATACAAGCTGCAAAATTAATATCTTTTCTATACTAATACAATACAAGGTTTACTCATACACTTGTTGAGGTTTTAAATTGTGTCTTTAAACGTGTATTTTAAAATTGTATTTGTAAAGATTTTATTTATCTTTAGGAAAGAGTTGACTGAAGCACAGAGAACAAACAAACCTTGTGGAAAGTGCCACTACTATCTTCTTATCAGCAAGACCTTTACAGAAGCCACAAAGAGCAATTCAAAGAGGAAGGGAAAGGGAAATCAGCAGAAGGAGGAATTAATGTTTGCAAATGCAGAGGAAGAATTCTTTTATGAGGTAACAATTTAAATTGTTTTAAAATGTAAATTATTTTAATTTAAAATATTTTTCTTTACATATCAGCAAAAAAGGTATTTCACCTTAAAATTCAAGTTTTTTTAAAAACTTGAATTTAGGTGGAGGCCCTATCCCTGCAGACATTCAAGGTCAACCTTGTTGGGGCTCTGAGCAATCTGGTCTAGTTGGAGATGTCTTGGGGCTTGCAGTGAGAGGATGAAGGGTAATGGTTTTAAGCTTAAAGAAGAGAGATTTAGGTTAGAGATCAGGCGTAAATTCTTCAGTGTGAGGGTGGTGAGACACTGGAACAGGTCCAAGAGATGTTGTAGGGGATCTGTCCCTGTAGGTGTTCAAGGGCAGGTTGGATGGGGCTCTGAGCAGCCTGTTCCAGTGGAAGGTGTCCCTGCCCATGCAGGAGAGTTGGAACTCGATGATCTTTAAGGTCCCTCCCAACTAAAAATTCTGTAATTCTGTGATGTCCCTGCTTATTATAGGGGGGTTGGACTAGATGACCTTTAGAGGTCCCTTCCAATCCAGTGCATTCTATGATTTTTTTGCCAAGAAACTTAACAGATGCAAAACTCTGTATTTGTGTCCTGTTTGTCGGTATGACATGGAAAGCTGATTTATCTGTTTTCTTTTGGGTACCTGTTATTTTCAAAACATGCTCAGAATAAGAAAAAAAAATAATAAACTTTTGAAGATCCAAACAAGTAGGTGTTGCTTCTCTTTTCTATCTCTATTGTGCTTAGGACAAGTATATTAATGTGCTAAATTACTGAGATGGAAATATTACTTCCTATTTCCTAAAGCAACCCCTCTACACAATTCTGCTGGTTCCACACCTAATCAGGAGAGGGGAAGATTGAGGAAATTAAATTAAAAATGTACTTTGAAATGCAAAGAATTCTTCAGTGGTCTTTTTTTTTTTTTTTAAGCTTTAAAAATATTACTTTACAACATGACTGCTTTGTCAAGAGCCCATTATTTTTCATTTCTGGCAGTGCCTATAGGATAAAGTGCATGCACGTGCATCATATGGTTAGTGGCAAAGCTTCCTGTGTGTAATTATTCATGACATTCTCTGATAGAGGCTATAATATGGCTGAAATTGTATTTCTTGGGAAGAAGAAAGATATAAGTAGGTGAGTTCATTGTTAGCTATAGGGAATAGTGTTATACCTTCTATGCAATAACAAGTTGGGATTTTCCTGTTGTGTTCCTGCCAGAGCAGCTTTACCAACAGAACTTGAACTCTACATAAACAGGTTATTGAAAAGCTGAAGGGGCTGAAGGGACACCTGTGGTGTCCACGGGTGTTAAGTTCTAGAGTCCTGTTTTGCATTAATCTGTTTTGTTATTTTGAATTGCATTTTAAAGACTAATTGTGTCCTTTTACCTAAATTGCAGTAATTTTCAACTCAAGTGGATAGACTCAAACTGAGCATGCTTTTCTGTTTTAACAGGCCTTTTAGTGTTTTTAACAAAATAATTTCAAACATTATGGAGGGCATTAGATTAAGTGGGTCTTTGTACTTAATGATGTATATATGTTGAATTAGTAGTGGAGTGTATATCTTCCCTAATCACACATAATGATGAATAGATTGACCTAAAAAAGTGTCCAGTGCAGTGAAACAGATCCTTAGAGCCAAATAAGACAGGCCATTTTCCTCAAGTCAGTTTGCTGTGTTTTATTCTGTTCCTTAAAATGTAAATGAGGGAGCAAAAGAAAAGTTCTGTAATAACCAGCATTGGACTTTATTAAAGGTTTAGAGCCTCCATTACTCATATTGTTTGTTCTTGAGCAAAAGCCATTCAATTAATGTTTTTTCCAAAATTAAATTTACAACCTGGAGATACTGTTCATGAATAGAAAACCTAAACAAAGGCTGAATCTTTGCTTTCCCTGCCAAGGGAAGAGGTTTAGTCTTGTTCCAGGGTTGAAGGTCTCTTAAGAGCCTGATACTCCTTTTATTCAGGAATCCCTTCTAATTGGCACAATAACCTCTATTCAGCCTGGGGAGACCTTATATCCCCTTCCAGTGCCTGAAGGGGCTCTAGGAAAGCTGGGGAGGGGCTTTTCAGCAGTCAAAGCAGTGATAGGACAAGAGGTAATGGTTTGAAACTGAAAGAGGGGAGATTTAGGTTAGACATCAGAAAGAAATTCTTGATCATGAGGGTAGGAAGGTGCTGGAGCAGGTTACCCAGGGAGGATGTGAGTGGCCCCTCCCTGGAGGTGTTCAAGGGCAGGTTGGGTGAAGTTTGTGCAGCCTGGTCTGGTGGGAGGTGTCCCTGCTTATGGCAGGGAGGTTGGAACCTGATGAGCTTTAACCTTCTAACATTCTATGATTCTGTGATTTCTTAATGTGCTAATATGGAATGAGATGCTGCCTTAATGAGGCACAGTAAGCATATAAAAATGCATTGTTGTTTGTTTGGTTTTTTTTCCTTTTTAGGTCTTCTGATATCAAGCTATAATGATATCAATCCTTTTAGATTTTATTATGAATTATAGGAATTCTGCAAAAAGCAAGTAGTTCAAAGCACCTAATGGTGGGTTCTCAAGTAGGTTTGGTGGGCTTTTTGAGAGGGAAGAAAACAACTTTTTGATAAGTGTGTGCAAAATAGGGCCTTTTTACTTTGTTTAGATGTTGTATTATCTTCATGCTAATTAAAAATATTAATCATAATGCATTTATTCTGTTGTTTAGGAAGCCCTTCTGAAGTTCAGCTACTCTGTCCAAGAGGAGAGTGACACCTGTTTGGGCGGGAGATGGTCCTTTGATGATGTCCCAATGAAACCCTGGAGGACTGTTATGATAGTTGCAGCTGATGGAATGAATGTCATTATGGATAAACTCAAAGACTATCTCTCACTCTGAGCATTTCTATGAAGCAGCCATGCAGAACTGTGACTTCACAACCTTCTCAGACTGTTCTAGAGTTATTGGTTTTGTGCTGCCCAAATGCTTCATCTGTGCACTACACAGACGAGTAGTTGGTACAACTAAAAATATCCATCAAATTCCTATGTTTAAATATTGTATCTTATTACAATTTGGTATAATCATTAAGCAGTCAATAAAACCCCAATGTTACAAGGAAAGTCGATCTACTCAATATGTTTTTAATCCAACTTAAATAGTTTATATTTGTTATGAAACATTGCACACAACTCCTTTTGTTAAGCAAAGTGCTTTTTCCATGTGTTTCTTTCATTAAATACATTTATGTCAACATTTCAAAATAATTTCATGGGTTAAGATGGGGATGTATATTGCATATACTGTGTTTATTCATATTTGTTCAATGTATGATAGTTCAGTCTAAAATCACTGAATAATACATCTTTGTTCAGTGGGAGTTGGGGAAAAGTTTTCATTTTCTTGGCTGTCAGTCTTAGTTTTCTGTTCTTCCTTCATGGTTGAAACAGGTGACAAGTGATTGATCACTTCCTGCAGAATATCCTTACTTTCACTAGGAGGAAGATTGCTGAAATAGTACTGAGGTACCAGCTCCATGAATCTGGTGAGGAAATAAGAAAAAACATTATAAGTTTTGTTTGTAATTGAATGTTGAAATGTTTGAATAGCTCTTTTCCAAGCTTGTACAAAAGACACACGCAACATGATGATGCACAGAGGTACAAAGCTGGTATTTCAACTCAAAACCAAAACTCTCTGCAAGATGTACTCACAATTTGTGCACTTAATACACTCAATCTACACTTCAGCTGGTTGTTGTTCAGTGCTCAATGCTGCAGATAGCATTAAATTGTATTTTTCTAGGTTTGAACATATTTTTGGTTTACTGAAACTGTGAGAAAGCCTTATGAGCATGGAAAACAGACAGGACAATGAAATGTATATTCTTGATGCAAAGAGATTTGGCAGAAGGAAAACTCTAGTCTTTTCCTGAATCTATAAACAGTGGATATAGGATCATTTAGCTGGCTTGGGACATAAAACATACTGAGAAAAAGATTTGCTGGAAAACAGCTTTTCAGGGAACAAAGACATTTCCAGCTAGACTAATTCGTACACTGCTGTGTTAACTTTTCCTTGATGGTCTTTCTTTATATTTCATCTGGCAAGAAACTTTTGCCACTTGTGAGGTGTTCTTTCAGTGGGGATTGATTACAGTTACAGTGGCAGAAATTGAGATTTCAGTACCTGAACAGATCAGCACACATTAGTAAATACAAAAGGCTGACTTAAATGTGGCTTGTTCTGCCTGAAAAGAATAGTAAGGGGGTGAGATCACAGTTCTTCCCTTTCCAGTAGTTCTGAGCACCAGTGCAATGAGTGTTTCAAATGAAAATGAAGACATCCAGCAAAGCTATACACAGTAATAGAACAATACTGGCAACAAAGACATAAAATCTATTCCACATACATTCACAAGTCAGTATTAAGTGTGAAAAACAACCATTTTTCCAGAGATGCCGACTCCTCTTACTTGACTAGGTATGAAAATTGTCTTTTTCTCTTAAGCCTGTTTTACTAGGTTTGTTTTGGTTTGGTTTTGTATAGCCACATCTCTACCTAGAGTGAATCCCTTATGCTTGGAGTGATTTGTGAGCAGAATCAGAAGACGGCTACTTTTAGTATGGAGATAAGGGAAAGGGAGGAGGTGACTGGAGTTGACTTCTCCAAGCACTGCTCTCAATGTACACACACCCTGTCTGTGAGTGAAGTTACACTTCTGTGGCAGAGGTAGGAGTGAAGAAACAGTTTCATCATTGTTAACTTACAGATCAGGTGATACCTCAGAGACCACTCTGATGGAATTGTCTTCTGATATACTAAACTCGTGGAATAAAACCCACTCAGGAATCTTTCTGGTCTTGTAATATGATGAGAAGGGATGAAGCTGGGCCACTTGTCTGTGTGTTAACATTAAGTAGTTACCTGAGCCATCTACATCACGAGCAATCTTAAAAAAAAGCAAAGAGTTATCCATTATTTAATTTAATATTCAAGATGCATTCATCAGTGTTTGCCTATTAGATTAAAGACAGTGATTAGATTTGTACTCAGACACTTTCAACTGAGGAAGTTAAACCTCTTAATAAATTTCTGCAGGGGAGCTAGGGACTGGGTACTATTAAATGAGGCTTAGAGTGAAAGAAAATGTTGATCTGCGTATTTGAAAGGAAACTGCAACAAATGAAGGCAAGCTTACACAATGAGTAGCTGCACTTGGCTGTGAAGGGTCTTTAAAGAATAATAAGTCTTTAAAATGCGTTGTGTGGTCAGGCACTATAAGTAGTGTGGTTTGGAGGGGTCTTTCTTCTATTGAGGAGGAGCATAGTGATGTGAAGGAAACCTTGTTTTCAAGCGGGAATAAATTCATGTTTCATGTTTTCTGTTTACAGTTACAGTTAGAGGAGAGGAAGAAAGCTGTATATTAAGGATATCTGAGAATATTCAACAAATCCATTCTCTGTTTCCTGAGTATTTTCACAACAATATCTTTAAAAAGGAAGTAAGATCTGAGATGATATGACAAGTTTTTTGAGGTAAAAGTAGTCTTTGAGTGAAAGGCACATTGACAGTTTCCCTCTTGCAGTGAAGTGTATGGACTGCATGCTGTGACAGCTGAACCCAGAGAGAGGATTGGAATTGGCAGAAGTGCTTGTCTGATGCACAGTGGAAAAAAATGGTTTTTATCCTGTCTGATGATGAAAAGACTTCACTACATAGCTTAAGTTGCCTGGAAGCATTCTATTTAAGTTAACAATGCAGTAAGATGAGACCACAGTATTTTCCTTACGTGCATAAAGTAACCAGATAAGAGAGATTTCTTAATGCTTAGTATATTTTCTTGTGATCCAAAGTCCGGCTCTGAAATGGGAAGTTCAAGGCGCTTCATAATCTCTACCAGTTCAGCTCTGATAACCTCTGCCATCCTCAGTGCAGAACAGCTTAGGAAATAATCACGGCACCATTTCTCATTGCTGCAGTCTGTGGAGGAAAAAACAGCATTTTGGCTTAAAGCTGAGTCTTACTGATAGGCACTATCCACAGATAGTGCTCTGTAAAGTGCTCTTGGGCTGGTTCAATAGATTAAAATCATTGTGAGGTGAGTAGCTGTGTCAGAGCTGTCCAAAATTCTGATAACAAGAACCATACAGGCAACTTAGGCTCATTGATCTTGCTTGTAAAGTGAGTGGGCAATACTTTATATCCTCACTTATTTTTAGCTGTATTTTTCTGAATAAAAATATTCAGAATCCCTTGGTCTGTAAAAACTGATAGCCTCAGATTGAGTAGCAACTCTATTTTCAGGCTTTCCGGATTCAGGCAAGGATATGGGAACTGAAATGACATTTGCAGTGTTGGTGATGATCCTGCATGCTGGTGAAGGGCAGGTTCTCTTGGACAGGAAACAATCCTTCTGTCATGCCATAAGTTTGTGCTTGGTATGTGCAAATCATGGAATGTTTTGGGTTGAAGGGGACCTTAAAAACCATCTAGTTGCAACCCCTCTGCATAGGCAGGGACACCTTCTAAGGTCACACTGCATCTCAGGTGACAGCAGCAAATTTCAAGAAGCATTTCCTCTATTACAAATAAGAGCACAAACCTTCAACAGCACTTACGCACTTCACACCAATGTCTAAGTACTGGACTCAGGCTAAATGAACCCAAGCAAGGTGTTTGAGCACAAGAATATACTGTGAAGAGCTTCTGTCTGCTGCTTTCCCCTTAAATTTTCTTTTCAGTTGGCAGCTCTCAAAAAAACCCTGGAATTGTTAAGCTGCTGAAGGAATCAAGTCCCTCCTCAACTTTGTCATTTCACATCTTAAACCTGGATTATGTTCTCTTAAAGGTGGAACCATCTTTCTGGTTTTGTAAAATGTCACTTAAAATGACAATTGTAAAGTGCTTACATATCCTTGTTGGCTGAGGTACACTGTCCTACATCATTTCAATTAGTTAATAAACTAACACTTGTTTGTAATGGCTACTGTCTTGGGTTTCTCTTCTCTCTGCAAATTAGCAGTTCTAGAATAATTCAAAAAGTTTATGAACTAAATGCCAACAACGTTCAGGGTTTTTTTGTTCTGTTTTTTTCCCAATTGGTTAGAATGTTCATTTTATCTGGTATGGGTACACTTACATGAGCTTGCAGAGTTTGCACTGGCTTCCTTGAAGGCATTGAAGACATTGACAAGAGTGAAGTGATCTCCTGCAGGGTGTGAGAATTTTCTCCAGCAGGTAAGAGCAATCTCTTCAGTTCCAGGGCAGGCATGTAAGAAGCAATTAGGAGCTTGGAAAAAAATCAAGCCAGTGGTTATTAAGACATGGAGGTGCATGCACAAATACTAACTCCATTGATATTTTTTGTTCCTTTTGTTTCTCAGTTCCTTTCAATCTCTGATGTTGAATTGCTGCTGAGGAACTGAATCTATTGCCTTGACTAAGGTTTTATTTATACAGATGTTCCTTCAATTTCTTATAGTTTGTGCTGTAAGCACAAAAGGGGGTGAGCAGCCTTCTCTTAGTCTGATGTCAAAAATGCTTCATAGTGGCATCATCCAGTTAAGCCAGAATCCAAGCATACAGTTTCTTTAATACAGAAAGAAACTAAACCTGTGCATATAATGCCTGAATTTGCTCCTTTACATTGAAATTTGTACCTCCCAGTGCGTTTTATTTCTGTTGTGATACTGCACTGCCTAATTGTATCTTTCAAGATGGTTGAACTTTTTAAAAACTAAATTGTGCCTGTGCTCAATTGTTAACAGTTTTTGTTTATACTCAAAAAAATTATCACACGTTTAGGCTCACTATTAAAAATCAAGCCAGCCTGAGCATTAAACCAAGTTGTTATATAAGGAGAAAACTAATGCAGCTTGATGCCCTCTAAGTTTATG